TTGCGTGGAGGATTTCATCATGAGCTGACATCCTTGTAACCGGAAGGTCCTGGGTTCAAACCCCGGTGGGTGCGTACTGATGAAGAGTCCCAAACTAGGACGAAACAGAGGTCCAGTACTCCCAGGTTTTCCAGTGGTTCTCTAACCGATGTCAGCTCATGATGAAATCCTCCACGCAATCAAACAAAATCCCCACAAAACCAATACTTGAAAACTTAAAGATTTATTTTCTATTTTGCTACGCCTTAAAATGAAGAAACGATTTTTAAACATGTTCCTCTTCTCTATGGTCTAAAAGTACAAAATCATGCGTTACTGTTGTTATTATTATTATTTATGATGATGAAGTTTTACGTGATGAATTGAAAACTTTGTAAAATGCTACTCACTCACCTACTTACTTAGAAGGCCTACTTACCTAACTGTTTTTAGCTTGCCTACTTTAAGTATTTGCGTAAACTAGATAGTCTTTTTATTAGTTCAACAGTTTAAAAACTCCTCTGCCATCTAGATTCAGTCTACGTTTATAACACGATGGCATAGAAAACCTGTTTAGAATGAAATAAGAACTGATTTTATGTGTACAGGTGTGAAATATTTATTTCATTCAATTGGGGTGTGTAGAAATAATGAATCAGGTGTAACATAATCACCACACATTCTATGGTTTATTCCTACTCCCCCTTCCCACACCTCGATTTTTCACACTATTTCTCTTCACACAGGTAAATTAACCAAGCTTGAATTAAACATTTGGAAGAAACGATAGTGTAGGAAAAGAGACGAAGTAAGATAGAGAGAGAGGAAGGGGAAGAAGCGAGGATTCCGGTTTCATTTAGATTTCGCATCTGTGTAAGCCATATTAAATAAAAAATAATGCAGTTCCACACTGTACGAAGTACCCGTGCACACCATTTGGGATGTGTGGATAGTCAAGGCCATGCGTTTCAGTTTTTGAGAATGAAGAACCTCCCACCTGAACAATCTATCTCCCAGCATCCAGTTTACTTCGGAAGCAGGCAGAATCAGACGTCGGTGAACTACCACTTCCAAACTGCCTAGTTAAGAGGAGAGAAAACGGACATTTTGGTATATCTATATATTCAGGAAGAAAACCCATCAGCGCAAAGGTATCAGTTGTCTCAAGTCTTCTTAGAAGAACACACTCTTTGATAACGGATGAGAAAGAAAAAGAAGAAGGAGAAATATCAAACATCACTGAGACTGTCAAGTAAAATAACTACCCAAAGGACTTTATCAACAAAACTAACAAAGATATCAAGTATGGCCGAAAACGCATTCCGAAAACATGGACCTCAACAGCTGTCATTCCGTATAGATCAGAGACGTCACAGGATATCAGAAGAGTACTCAATAAGCACGACATCAAAGTTTTCTTGAAAACATCAGACACGCACGCGACAAAGCAGCCTTGTCCATATAAAAGACCGAATCCCTAAGTATTCTCCATCTAATTGTGTCTATAAAATAAAATGCTTGCTTTAAGTGTGATGCGATATACATCGGACAAACAAAACCAAAAGAAATGAACACTGCAGAGCATCTGATCGACCACCGAGAAATCCACTTGAACTAGAAAAGCTTGAAAAATCATCAGCCATACGTCTACACGCCATAGAATCAGGCCACAAATTTGATTTTGACAATATTTAAATAATCCAGAAAAAATTCAGAAGTCACAAAGAACGTCTAATATCAGAAGCACTTCATATCAGGTGAAATCCAAATTGTCTGAATAGGAATGATGAACTAAATCAGAATTTGACCTGGTTACAACACCTCCCTCCCCATGAAGGGACAAAATCAACACGAATGTCATAAGCAATTTCTTTATGAAAACACAGGCTGCTTTTATAATTTTACACACTTATCAAATCCAACAGTTGACACCTGGTTGTGAGATCTTCACCAATTGGCCAAATAGACATAGGCAAAAATGGCCCCATGCTGAGGAACGATGATTAAGTTGTTATATATATAAGCTGAGATTTTTTTTTATATTCTGGTTGAATAATACTTTGATAAAGCTATTAGCAACACTGAATAGCGTAACATCAGTGAAAACAATATCCTTTTGTTTTTCATTCATTGGGAAATACAAAACACCTTTATTTTAAAGAGGGTTAATCGATTATTAGCCCCAAAGTATTTGAACAATTACAGCTCTTATGTTCTTTGGTCTATAGAAAGTGCATCAACAGTCATTCATTTTCATATAATCCATTAGATGAGTGGTTTTTATGCTTGATTATCATGCAAATATACAATCTGACACAAAATATATATCACGGAATAATGCATACAAATAAAGCGTGATAGCATAGCTTAAAATATGTAACTAGAAATATTTGAAAACCATTCTTTAGTCTCATCTTTTCATATTCAGTCATAAATACTGAAATTACTTAAAATACTGACAAGTTCACAACATTGAACATCCATAATTTGTGATCCACAAGCTCACCGTTACTGCCAAAAATGTTATCATATATATAAAGATATGTTATTATTATTGTTCCCTTGTGTTCCTAGTGGAACATAGGGCTTCAACAACACGTTTCCACTTGCTCCTGTCCCATGCTGTACTTTCCACTTGCATCCATGTTAGTCCATATTGTTTCAACTCCTCTTCACACGATCTCCTCCATGTCACCCTTGCACTGACGTCCCACTCGCCGCTTCCCTTTCGGGTTCCACTCGAGCGTTGGCCTGACGCGCGATGTCACCCAGCGAGTGGCCTCCTCAGCGAGTGAGTGTCCAATCCATCTCACCTTTCTCCTGCATATTTGTTGAGAGATTGGTTCTTGTTTTGTTTGTTCCCGTAGTTTCTTGTTCTTTCCAGCCATCTGATCTTGAGTATAGAGCCAGCGAAGACAGTTAGTTGCTGATAAAGGTGTGCAACAGGCTGTTGGAAATGTTCTTTGTGACCCGCCGTCAAGTTTCTGATCCATCCGTATAGAAGAACTGACTGACTGACTTGACTGACGTTTGTATTGAAAATTCGAATTTTGTTGTTGATGCTGGCTGAGTTGAGTGACAGCGGAAGATTTCCAGATTGGTTCCAGGTAGATGAATGTGTTTCTCGCCTTCCCGATTCTCGATTCGACATCCTCGTCCGTCCCTCGTGTAGTTGAGACAATGCTCTCTAGATAGGTGAATGAAGTAACCACTTTCAAATACCCCCCGTTGATGGTGATTGGCGGTGGGCGTTGCTGTTGTTGTTGTTGTTGGTTGGTTGGTTGGTTATTTTCATAACCACCGTCTTGTCTATGTTCACCTTGAGCCCTGTCTTTGCTGCTATAAAGCTATGTACATTAGAATAAAGCTTGAAGATCTCATTGAAAACAATACTGTTCTCTTGCATGTCTTGATGTAATCGTAGCCGACGTAAAGTTTACCCGTTCAGTATTCAGTCTATTAGCACTACAAAATTCACAAAAGAAGTTCAATCACAACACCTTCATACATATATATATATATATATATGTATATCTTCCATATCACATTCGCATCGACTACCTACTCGTTGCTTCTCATTCGAGTTACACTTGAGCGATGACCTGGTGAGCGATATCACATTTTCTCCTACATATCTGTCGAAAGACTGATTCTTGGCTAGTTTTTTCCCATAGTTTCTTGTTGCTTTATTCTTCCCGGCCAGCCATTTGATCTTCATTATAGAATGAAGACAGTTGTTGATGAATGTCTGCAAACTGTTAGAAAGGCTTTTTATTATACACCACTTTTCTGATCCATACAGAAGAAGTGACGACTCCACATTTGTGTACTAAATACGAACCTTGATGTTTTGACCTGAGTGCATAAGATTTCCAAATGGATTTTTAGATTGATGAAGGTGTATCTTGCTCTTCTGATTCTGGCCTTGACATCTTCATTCCTTTCTCCTGTGGTTGAAATGATGCTTCCTGTAGATGCTACACTTAATTTCTGTTCAAGCTTAATTTTCCCTTGAAAGTTGGAAGACGCTACTACACCTTTGGTCCAAATTGATAACATAACGAGCTCATTTAATAATAAAACAATTTCTGTGTATAAGGTGATAGTTTCCATATATTTTATTTGTAAAGTCACTTAGTCTACCAAGTCTGAAATACACATATCTTTTAAGGATAAACACTGATCCCATAAAAGACAGAATACGTGCCCATGCATGATTCCATCCCTAGTGGACATCCACCATATAACCGTCGATTTTAACCTAAGGACATAATAGAAGTGTTAGCATCACCAAAGGCTGAGTTAGACATTACATGTAATGTAATGTAATGGACTGTTACATTAAAATTTAGTTTGGAGGGAAGCGACCTTGCGGATTTTCAACTCCAATGTGAAGTCAGTCAGTGCTACTCACTATACGGATCAGAGACTTGCACTGCGCGTCATAAAGACCATCTCAAACAAACTACACACCTTCATTAACAGTTGTCTTCGCTCAATACCACTCAAGATCACATGGCCGGCCAGAAGAGATCAGCATCAGAGAGGGATCTCTGGCAATGACCAAACAAACTCAGCAGGAACCGATTGTGAAACAAATAGGCAGGCAGGAAGAAATGGAGATGGATTGAACTGGCCATACTCTGAGGAAACAAACCATCAAGTGAGTGACATCACTAGAGAAGCCATTGCTCGAGTGGAACCCGACGGTATTGGGATCGGCGAGTTGGTCGTCAGTGGAAGGGTGGGTGACTTTGAGGAGGTGATGTGAAGAGGAGATGAAAGCGTGTGGGCAGACTTGGAGCCAGGTAGAGACTCTAGCAGAGAACCGAATGCAATGGAGATGCACGGCTGAAGCCCTTTATTCCCCTAAGAATTAAAGGAAACAATAATAATAATAGTAATAAGTCACCGGAAGTATCGCTCAAACGAATCTTTTTGCTTAAAAATGAACCTCAAGTTTCATATTTCTTTCTATCCGCCAAACTTAAATCTATTTTTTTTGGCTTCTGTAATTACAGACTCATATACAATTACAATTCATTACAGAATTATGCTTATTACAAAAAGGTCTGGCGAATCATTACTATGTTTTAAATCAACATCAACCTCATCAGCAACAACATCAACAAGCTGGACAAATTCACCTACTAGAGACAAGTGATACAAAGTCAAGTTTTTCAGCTTGTGAATTAATCGGTCCAAATTCACAGTTCACTGAACAAGCCCTGTCCATACTGTCCACCTGGCGACTGGATCCCATGACAAATAAACAAATTAAGCATACACTGAAAACACCAACCTGCCATTTTTCACCAATCGTTCCGGCTACTTATGCTGAAAGTAAGTAGTATGTAGTGTAAATTTTGTATATATATGTAGATTGCTGCATGGGTAGAACAGCTCTTCAAGTGGCATGATTTGTGTCAGTTATTAAGTTAGTAACACTCTTCACCCTCAGTTTTTCTCCAGTGTCTTTCCTAGTGACAAAAATTATGTGAATACTGTTTCCGGCTGACGTACTCCTAAATGTAGTAGTAATGTGGGAGTGAGACTGTCAACCCCACTTAGTAACAAGCAATAACACCACTGCTACTGACACTCCAAAGTGAACCTCAATCTTCAATTTTGCATTAGAATACCAGAAATGGATGATCTATATTCGTCACGGAGATTAATTCATTTCAGAAGTGCTACATCTGTAGATAAAATATCGTGAATTGGTAAAAGTTAGGATTCATGAGCAATTAGATCAGGTCCCAGTGGCCTAATGATCTACGAGCCCGCCTTGTAGCCAGAAGGTCATAGGTTCGAACTCCGGTGGCTGCGTACTGTGAACAGTCCCCAAACTAGGACGAAACAGCTGTCTAGTACTCCCAGGTTATCCAATCGTTCTCTAATTGATGTCAGCTTATGATGAAATCTTTCACCTAATCAAAGGAAATCCCTACAAAACGAACACTTGAATATTCTTAGAATAGTTGATCAAAGGTCACACCAAGTTAACAGCAAAAAGTCAATTGCAATTTGCTTAAAACACTTGAAGTTCTGAGTGAAAAAGAAGCAGGTCTATTCACTATCACCAACATGGCCTGCTGTGATACCTATAAATTCATAAGTGAATGTCTTTACTCTCTTTTTCATTTGATTACGTAATCCTTTATTAATTTGTCTGATATTCAGTTTAATAATACATTTTTATGCAGATAATAACTCACAGATGCTTTCGAAGAATGATCTATTGACATTGGTTCAATGTCATCCAAGACATTAATGTGTCCAGATAACAATCATTCTACAGTTATATTAGATGGTTGGAGGCAGTCGGTAGGAAGCCTTGGACCTAGGTTTCGTGCTAGTTGGCACTCTTCAGCAAGGCGTATCTTCAACCCTGAAGGAACCCATGTCCCTTCTGAGATTCAAACCCGCGCCACCCAGTGCTGACTGCAGTCTGAGACGTTACCACTGAGCTATTCAGGCTCGCGACTGACCTCCTGAAGGACTGCATTGGATTCCTTTGGTTGGATACTAGTTACTAGTGTGATGGTGAGCTCCTAGAATGGTGGCCATATTGCAAAACCTCACTGATAGAATTCAGTCTGCACCAAAGAGAGTACTAGACGCATAACACTAGTTACTAGTGTCCAGTCAAAGGATTCTACAATTATTATGGACATACAACTGTAGAACCTTATGAACAAAAAGTCATTGAAAATAATATATTCTTGATCATCACTAAGCAGTCTCGAGAAATTTCTAATGAGCATCTTCAACGTCTTATTTGTTCAATTATTTTTGAATTTCCGAGAGTGCAACTTAGAAAAAATGTTCACCCGCCTAACCAGTGGAAATGTGCGATCAATATAATGCTTACTTTATCAGTATTATCCACAAGTGATCACATACTAATGAGGAAAATGCGATATGATCCGTAATAAGATTCTGATCATTAAAAAACCAAACGCATTCTGACTAATGTCTCCTGTCTGCCATCGGAATACTTACAGTTAGGTTCAAAAGGCATTTTTCAGTACTCCCTGGTTTTCAATGATTCTCTAACTCTCATATCAATCCGCGGTCAAACTAGTGAAAAAAAAACAAATTTAATCCTTACAAACCAACCCTTGAAAATCTAATAATTTCCATTGTAACATTAAGAACACAATACTGAGACTAGAGATTCTTTTCAACGGATTTATTATCAATCTGTACAGTCATATAAATACATATATATGAGTTTATATCTTTTGCTGAGGATCTGGACTTCGCCGATGATATATGTCTGATTTCCCACAAACTGGAAGATATGCAAACGAAAAGCAACAATTTGGTGGAAGAAGCATCCAGGGAAGATAAGACTTTAGGTGAACATAGAGAAAACATAGGTGGGTGATGAAGATTCCTGGCCAACACCACCACCACCACCAACAACAACAACAACAGACAACAATCAGCATGAATGGAAGAAACCTGAAAGAAACAACCTCTTTTACCTGCCGACATGGGAAGCATTGTTTCAACTACAGGAAGACGGAACTGACGAGGATATCAAGGCAGCGAGGATCGGAAAGCGAGACAAGCTTTCAATACTCTCAATTCTGTGTAGAGGAGGTCAACAGCCCTACTCACCATCAAAACGAACATCAGATCCGGATTTCCAACTCCAATGTGAAGTCAGTGATACTATATGGATCAGAGACTTGCACTGCGCGTCATAGAAAGCATCTCAAACAAACTACAGACCTTCATCAACAGCTAGTTGTCTTCACTCAATACCACTCAAGATCAGATGGCTGGCCAGCGAGAAAAGATCACCAACAGGGAGGGATCTCTGCCAATGAGTGAACCAACTCAGCAGGAACCGATTGTGAAACAAATAGGCAGGCAGGAAGAAATGGAGATGTATTGGCTGGTCATACTCTGAGGAAACCATCAAGTGACATCACTAGACAAGCCATTGTTCGACTGGAACCCAACTGTATTGGAATCGGCGAGTTGGTCGTCAGTGTTAGGGTGGGTGACTTGGAGGAGATGATGTGAAGAGGAGATGAAAGCGTGTAGGCAGACTTGGAGCCAGGTGAAAACGTTGGCCGAGAACTGAACGCAATGGAGACGCACGGCTGAAGCCGTATTTTCCTCTAGGAATTAAAAGAAACAATAATAGATATGATAAATAATAATATATCTTGTCACGAAATTTGAACAGACGTGTGAATACATAGAATAATAATAATAGTAGTAGCAGTATGAAATGCAATTAAAATGTTTGTGATTATAATCATAGTTAAATATATCAAAACATCATAACAAATAACGTCATATACAGAATAGTTCATAGGACGTACAGGTGTTGGATAGGTGGGGGGCGTAAAATCACTGGATTAATAGGTAATTAGAAAAAGGTTACACAACATGGTGAAAAATTTGATAAAATGGGATGAAACATTGCAGAAGATTTTGTTGTAGAATGACAAGTGGGACGATTGAAATAATCCCGGAAACAGTTCAGAGTCAGATTATCCGAATTCTGTTTCCGACTGACATACTGCTAAATGTCACTTAGTTAATGAGCCCCGGTAGGTAGTACGACAGGAAATGAGAGAATGTTTGGAGTGGGTGGGACTGTCAACCGCACCTAGTAATAATAAGCATTAACACCACTGCTACTGACACTCCAAAGTGAAGCTCAATCTTCACTTTTGCATAACAATCCCAGAAATGGATGAGCTATATTCGTCACGAAGAATAAGTCATTTCAAAAAGGCTACATCTGTAGATAAAATGTCTTCAGAAGATTAAGAGTCTGTTCCAGCAAATCCAGAAATTTTTCCAAGGTATATTTTATCGATCTGTTTATAGAGTATGTTTAATTATGTACACCATTCTACAGAGTTGTTCCATTTTAATCTCCTAACCCTCTGAAAAGGAAAGAAGGAAACAGGAAGACACGCAATGGAGACGTGTGGCTGAAGCCCTGTGTTCCTGTTGGAATTAAAGGATACAATAATAATAATAATTATATATATATATATACATATATATAATATTTTTAAGTAACACTATTGCATGAGGGGATTCAAACAAAGGTGTGAATACTTACAATAATAATGGGAAATGCGATAAAAAATTTATAGCTGTTATCATGCTTCACTATCAAGGGATGATACAAATAATATCATGGATAAAACAGTCCGTAGAATGTTTACATTGTGGTAAGAGATGTGAAGTTATCGCAATTAAAGTGTTTAATATGGTAGGAAGTTTGATAAGATATTACTTAACATAGCCAAAATAATAAATCGGACAAGTGAGACAATACCGGAAACTGTTCAAAATGAAAACAGAATTAATAACAATCACAGTGATAAGCAAAAAGTACACAGATTCAATAAACAAAGCAAAAACTAAATAAACAAGTGTTCATCCCTCTACTACTACTAAGGTAGGAATATGGACTGTTTGTACTTCTTTAGTACAAAAAGATCTAGCGTAAATCCATGAATGAATAACCGTGGCCTCCGCTGTCTTTCGAAGTTTGTGAAGAAGAAAATGCAGCAAGTTAACGTGAATTCGACAGATGATCTTAAAGTCATGATCACAGTTGGTAGATTAACACAAGTCGATTAAGTGTTCTAGAATAGAGCTTCGCACACCCTTTCTTTCTTCTTCATAGAATAATACTGGAATATATATTCTCGCATCCGTGTGGAAATCGTTCTCTGGCTACAGTCAGTATATCCTACACCGCAAGAGCAGGTGAACTGATAGATGCACATGGAGATGGATAGACGAGGAAGCTTATATTTTACAGAGATGGAGAACAACTTGCTGCTGGTGAAAGTCATTTTTAGTTTTGCAGCAAAGGACATCTTATTGGCTGATTTAGAGAGATGATTCTCGAGTATATTTGAAGCCTAATCACCTTTGAATACCAAATCCATGAAGATGGTTTTATTTGGAATTGAACTGATGACCAGTTCGGACTGCTTATCTCTCTTGTCTTTTGTCAATAAATCGGTTTGGGTAACTGTTTTCTGCTAGTGTTGCTTTAAGGAAGGAAAGTTCTGATATTTAACTACTATCATATTCAAAAACATTTTAATTGCATTTCATACTACTACTATTACTATTATTATTATCTTATGTATGCACAGCTTTGTTTAAATTTCCTAAGGGGAGACATCTGAGTGGCGTAAGTTATTATTAAGTGAGTTGGATTTCCTCTGGCAATTTTGATGATCAACAATTCGATCCACAGTGGAGTCGTCGCCACACACTAATGAAATGTGCCAGACTAAGTTGAAGCATTGAAAATGGACCCGGAGACAACAGTGGACTTGATG